ACCTCACACTGTACACTGCAATTCACTCAAAATGGATCAAAGACCTAAATATAAGTGCTGAAAATATGACACTTTCTACAAGAAGCCACAGGAGAAAATGTTTGTGGCACTGAGTTTGGCGAAGATTTCTTTCAGAGAACACAAAAGACATGAACCATCAAAGAAACAATTTATAAAACGGACTTTATCAGGTTTGAAAACTTTTGCTCTTCAAAAGGCACAGTGAAGAAACACTAAAAGGCAAGCAGATTGAGATTAAACATATACCAACCGTATATCTGAAAGAGCTGATACTCAGAAAACATAAGTGATTTAATAATATTACAACTAATAAAAAAAGAGAAATCACTCAATTTTAAAAAACTGGTGAAAGAGTTGAACAGATATTTTACAAAGGAAAATTTCTGAATGATCAAGAAACACATGAAAAGGTGTTCAACATCGCTAGTCATCAGGGAAGTGAAATTAAGACTACAGTAAGATATTACTACACACTCAGTAGAATGGCTAAAATCAAAAATACTGACAGCACTAAGTGTTGGCAAGGAGGTGGGACTCTCCTACTTGGCTGATGGGAAGGTAAAAGGGTATAGTCACTTTGAAGAAGGCACAGGCTCATGGAGCATCTTAGATGGTTGCCCAAAATAAATGAAAACATTTGTCCATACAAAGACTTTTATGTAAATATGCATTGCAGAATCGTGTCATTCAGATTAGTTGAAAACTGGAAAAAGTGCAAATGCCTATCAATCAATGGATGAATTGTAGGAAATCGATACTACAGGATACTGCTCAGCATTACCTCTTCCAGAATTTTTGCCCCTAAGAATGTCTTTATCAAATCCCTGAGGCAAGGGAGCACAAAGCCTGCTTGAAATGGAGGAGCAGAGAAGTGAAGAATACCAGGAGAGCAAAAGCAAATGACCATTTCAATAAATTACCATGTTGTGATGTCAAAGTGGGCTCCAGAAATGCTAATGTCACTAAGAAGGGGCATACCGAGGGGCTAGCAGAGGTGAAAAGGAAAAAAAAAAAAACCAGGGAGGTCACCCAACAGTCGCTGAGTGCCATGTCACCCTCTCTGGTGTCCTGCCCATTGCTGCAGCTGTAGCTGCCTTCATTTTATAGGCAGAGAAGGTAGGGTATAGAGGGATGAGATGACCTGCCTCAGGTCACACAGACCCACCTGGTTGGTCTGAGCCCTCAGCCTGACTGGCAGTCTGGAAGGAGAAGAGAGGGGACCCTGGAGTCCCTGCTGCTAGCTGCTTTCTAGCTTTTCGACCTTGGATCTGCCAGCACCAGCTGTGTGACCCTGGGTGTGTCACCTTTCTCTGCCTCAGTTTCCTCCTCTGTAAACCGAGAAGAATGGCCCCATGTGGAGGCTTGTGGTGAGGGGAAATGTGTAAAGCACTGAGGACACCATGTACACATTTGGCTTCCCCTGTGGCCACACTGGAGACGTGTCCCTGGGGTCGGCAGGGGCAGGATCATCTGACTGGAGCTGAAGAGCTTCCAGGTCATCTGGATGGGAGTTTGGGAGTTGACCAGGGACCACCAGTTAAGAAATCCTTGAGAGAGATGAGCAGCTTGGGGAGCTGATTTCTGGACTGTGGGTGGAGACAGGGAGGGTGGCAGAGGCCACCGAAGGCAGTTGAAGGGGGCTTGGGGTAGTGCCCGAGGGTCTGACGGTCCAACAGAGGGAGAGGAGTCTCTTGGGCCTAAACTGGGTGGAAGGTCAAAGGCAGAATCAGAAAGTGAAACAGAATAATAGCAGCTCTTTCTTTCCTCCCTTATTTTCCTCCCCTCCCTCCCTTATTTTCTTCCCTCCCTTTCTCCTTTCCTCCCTCTTTCTCTATCTCCTCTTCTCTCTGTTCTCTCCTCGCTCCCTTGTTCTGAAAGGCCAGGGAAGAAGAGCCTCTCTTAGAGCCATGTCATGAGTAACCTACTTGTGTACTTGCGGTTTACCTACCTGAAGAAGAGTGGTACCCTAAGTTCTCCACATGCTGTAGGCAAATGGTTTCTGATTCAACTCCACAAATATTTACTGTGCTCTGGTTAACTGAGTGTACTTTGTGCTGGAGGTGCCAGAGAGATGCAAATGGGCAGAGCCCATCCTGGGAGGAGCCAGTCTGGGGCTCCTGGCTGATGTTGGCTGAAGACATTCCCCCCGCCTTCTCTAAGGATGCTAAAGAGCTCTCTGTCTACCAGTGCCTTGAGCCCACATCTCCTTCCAAAAAAGTGCAGAAATTGGCGGCCAGTTCTGCAAGATCTTAACAAGACTGTACATTGAAGGTGTCACCTACAGGAATGAGGTAGAACTCAGCCTGCAGGTATGGGAGGGCTTGGTAAAGATCTGCTGGTTCACTGCTGATGGCACACACAAGCTGGAATTCTGATGTTGCATCTTTCTCTCCTCTGAATTTTCCAAGATCATCCACATACACATAACTTTCTCCTCAACATGGTTTTCAGGGGCCACACAAGCAGTTTTGAAATTGACAGAGCCTCAATTTAATTTGTATGTTGTTTCATTTGGAGAGTAAGATTCATGCCTCACGATCAACCACGGGTTAGCCAGGCCCCATGATGAGCCCAGAGCCGATGTGCTGAAGCTCTCGGAGGTGAAAGGGTATTTAGAAAGACGAGGGAAAATAAGGTCTGAAGAGGGACAGGGGGCTGCAGCCAGGAAGATGGTGTCCAAATGCTTTGGGCTTTCTGACTTCCTGGCCTGGATGGGATGTGGAGCAGAAAGTGAGTAGTTCTGGCCAATGAATGATGAGCAGAAGTGACATGTGCCTTTTCTGGGCTGGATCACTGAATTGTTGGGGTGAGGCCTCCTTTCCCCAGGCAATGTTCTAGCGGGGTGCTGCTTAAGCCTCTTCCTGTACGAGGTATTCCACATGTTCAGCCCCTCTGCTGACCCATGGCAGACAGGTGTTGGAGTGAGACCTCAGCCCTGGCTGTTTTAAGCCATTAAAGTTAGGGCTTGTTTGTTATTGCAGTGTAACCTCATCTATCCTGACTGGTACATTGGGAAAACAAAAAGCTTGATGTGAGAGGCAGCCTTCTGTTTACTTCTCTTCAAAATTCAATACATCAAATCTCCTTCCTCTTCAGTCTTATCAGTGAACACTGTCCTTTATTGGGTCAATATTTATCATGTAGCATGCATAAAAGATACAATGAAGTTTTGTTACGATAGAAAAGGAAAGAAAGCAATGACTGTGGGATAAGAAGACAAGAAATAGAACTTTTCTCTCATCCCTAATGTGCATAGAACAACAGAGTCACAGACTTTCACCACTGACCATTACCATAGACTTCAGAAAGGATCTAATTCAACTTCCTAGTCCAAGAAGGCATTATATGTCCATCTCAGACTTATTTGTACCAGAGCAATCTGGTGCCAGTTGCTCTGCTGAGCACGAGAAAGCAACATATGAATAAACTCAGTTTAGTAGGTACAGTGACCCAAGAGGGGTTTGGACCTAGTGCTCAGAGCACAGAGGTGGAAAGAAGCCACTTCAAGTGAGAAATCAGGGAAGGCTTCTTGGAAGAGGTGGTGATTCACCTGTCAGAACCTTATTCCTCACTGTATGTTTGGGCCCATTCCTGACTGTGAGAATGCAAAAATGGATGCTGGGCATGGTTCACCATCCTTCCTCACCAGAGGGGCCAACTAAGCCTTCCATGACCCACCTGGGATTTGGCTTCTGACCTCCACCTTGGCCCCATGACTTCCCAGACTGCCTTATGCACGTCCAGGCTTTTATACAGGAAGGTGAGAGACCAGTTGGGTGACCTGGGAGCAACTCCCAGCCTGTTTTGTAAAACCAGGAGATAAATGAGAGCCTTACATTCTAGGCTAAGCACTGCAAGTGCCCATCTAGCCATGCTCCTTGCAAGGAACCCTGCCTTGGTGGAGGCTGGGTGTGTAGGGTAAGTGTAGCTCCCATTCCTGATCTCCTGTTGGGGGCAGAAATCAGTGAAGAATGACTTTGTACTGGATCTTGTTTAGCTCGGCTGCCTTTATAGCTCATTCACAAGAAAGCACAAATTAATACAGTACAAACCGGCCACATAAATATTGTGCTGTAATTGTCTTCTGTAATCAAAGTCAAGGCTGCTGACTTTGTTACTTTCCCTACTTCCCAACTGCTGGAGGAAGACTTTGGGGGAGGGGACCTGAGGTTGTAGAGGTGGGTTTTGTTGCCTGCATCTGTTTTCAAGTTGTGTCTCTTATGTATTCAGAGGAGGATAAGGCTCATTACATTCAGATTCAATAAGTATTTATCAAATGCCTGTTATGTGAGATGTATTGAAAGACACATTATCTTATTTCATTACTAGTTGAGTTAATAGTAGTAAAGATTTGACAACATGCACAAAAGTTAGTCTTTACAATAACTTTTTTTCCCTGGTATATATTGTTGGAATTTAAACAACCCTTTAACTTTAAAAAACCTGTTGTAAACGTATAAAAGGATATGGCAGCCTTATCTCTTTGCTCACAGAATTCACAACGGGCAGAACAACAAAATCTTCCACTCTGGGTAGTTAGATAAGTGGACTATAGTAACCAGTTTTCTCCAGCTAGTACTGGGTGAGTGAGTCAGTGATCTCTGCACTGTATACCAGTATCCACTTGATTGCTAAACAGTCTAAATGCATGGAGTTGAAATTTTCAAATCACTTCACCCAAAACAAGAAAACAACGCCATCTTTCCATTTACCTGCCAGTGCTAAAGCGGGCTTGGTTTTTTCCAGTGGTTAGTTGTACCAGGAGGAGTGACTTCGTGGGGGGCATCCTCTCACATCCACTGCGCTAAGACTTTTTTTGCACTTTGGAGGATTTGGAGGGAGCTCTCCCCTTTGGGAATTCAGACTTCGAAAATCCAGACAACCCTTTTTGCCCTGTTGAGGGAGGTGGGTGTCAGAGACTCTGCATAACCCCCGGGAAAGCTCAGCTGTCGCCTGACCCCTGAGGGTTATGTAGTTTTCCTAACCCTGACCTCAAGTCAGCCGTCTTTAACCCCTTTCCAAAAGGTCGCTCATGCTGGGCTGTCGTTTAAAAGAAAAAACCGAAACCGCTCGGTTCAGAGCTTCAGGAAAAGGCCACTCGCTCCCTGGGGGCTTGGGGTAACTTCCAGGCTACCCTAACCAAGGATTCGCAGGAAACCAAGGATTCCGCTGGACCTGCTCTTCCCGTGTCCCACCCGCTCCCCGTCACTTCCCTCTTCACACGCCGGCAGGAGTGGGTGGCAGCACCGACGCGATTTTATTCGTATTTTTTTCCTCCGAGTTTTGTCATGGAAACGCTGACACACAACCTCCAGACGGCGGCCGGGCACGGCCGGGGACTGAGGGCTTTTGGGACCCTGCGGGAGCGCGGCGCGCGCTCCGCACTCCCCGGGAAACAGCTGGACGCGACCAAATCCAGGGTAGGGGCGGGGGGAGCGCGACGCTCCGCCCCGGCGCTCCGGTCCCTCCCTCCACCCTGCTGCTCTCCGCAGGCGCCCTCCCCTCGCCGGGGGCTGCGAGTTGCATTTGGTAAAACCCAGCCCCGGAATATATAGATCATTGGAGCGCAATGAAGTAGCCTTTGGAGAGGAGGGAGGGGGCCGGTCCGACTGCCACAACGGCCAGCGCAGCGGCAGCGGCGGCGGCACCATCATCATCGCTCGCACCCCAGCCGCCCGGCCCGAGAGGAGGCAGCGGCGGTCACCGGCGAGAGCGGAGGCGGCGGAGGAGAGGCGAGGAGGAGCAGCCGGAGGAGCAAGAGCGCGCGGCCGGCAGGTCCACGCATCTCCGCACTTCCAGAGCAACTCCGGCGCCTTCCACACCCCTGCCCGGGGCCGGGGGCTCCGAGAGCGCCGCGAAGCCAGTCCGATCCTCCTTGCGAATCCTGCCCAGCCTTAGTCTGCGCCTCCCGGGCTCCGCTCCTCACGGCGAGGTCCTCTTTTACGCGCTCCGGGCGCGCCTCCCGGACACCCGGGTCCCCGTAGCCAGGACAAAGCCATGAAGCCGGCGCTGCTGGAAGTAATGAGGATGAACAGAATTTGCCGGATGGTGCTGGCCACTTGCTTGGGATCCTTTATCCTGGTCATCTTCTATTTCCAAAGTATGTTGCACCCAGGTAGGGGGCGCGTTAGCGTGGTTTTGTTGGATATTTTCTTCTCTCGCGCGCTCTCGCTCGCTGTCTCACTCCGCCTGGTTTCTGCCTCTTCCAACCTTACCTCTTCTCCCTGGGCCACCTCAGGGTTCCTTGCTGACCGGGTCTGCCTGGATCACCGAGTCGGGATGAGGAGGAGGAGGGAAGATATGCACGCTCTTGTTCTTCCTCCCTGCTCGAGGCTGGAGGATGGGACCAGAGCGGCGGTAGTTTTTTTTTTTTTTTCTTTGTGTCTCTGGTCTGCCAGTCTGCGAAGGTAGCAGGGCAAGACAGAGGTTGTGAGAAGCTCCTGGGGTGGGAGGTTGATTTGAAGAGAACGAAACTCCCTCCTCTCTCCTGCCGAGGTTTGAAGATGAAACGGGCGCCGGGAGTCGGCCGCCCCCGCGCCCCAGCGCTCTGCCTCTTCCTGGCTGGGGGGCCAGGGGCAAAGGGTGCGCGCTCCAGCAAGGTTGCGAGTCCCCGCCGAGAGCTGGGGAGCCCGGGGCTAGGCTCCCACGTGTCCGGGGCTTGGCGCCGCACTGAGCAGGTGTGGGGAGAGGTTGGGTGCTTGGTGCTACCCCTCAGCTGGCTGGGGAAGGGGCCCGGCGCCGGCTGTTTGCCCCCGGGGTGCGGCTCCGCATTGACCTTGCGGCTGATGCCTCTGGGCCTGCTCCATCCCCCACAACACCACCCCCTCGACCCTGCGCTGGGGGATTCAGAGCTCCTGGGTCGTGCCTCCGTAGTTGGGAGGAAACTTTGGCCGAATCCTGGGCTGACCGTCAGATTGCATCCCCCACTCCTGGGTTCTGAGCATCTGGGGTCCTCTGGTGGCCCCGGCCGTGTAGGAATGAACCCCCTCCTGGCAGCCCCCACTGTCTTAGACAAATTACACACCTGAAATCTGGACTGGGGGAGGGACAGGGCTTGCCCCTTCCGAGGGCCTCGAAGGAAAGTCTGGGACTTGGGGAGGAAGGGGCGCCTTCGAGCGTGGCGGCCCCGAGTTCGCAACTCCGCTCTGAAGCCCAACAGGTAAAACCTTCCAAAAAGGCTTCCGGGGTAACGCGGATCTCCCCGTGGAGCCTTGGTCCTCCACTTCCTGCCCCCCAGCAAGCCCCTACGGGGCCACCTTGGCTCCCAAATCCATTTTTCACGTCTCCGAGTTGCCCTTCTCTGTATAGTCACAACAATAATTTGCTTTTATAATTGCAAGGAAAAGGGAGCTGGAAACACATTTCCTTCCAGGGCTATAGGGTTGGTGTTTTCTTTTTGCCTCCTGCGTTCTCCTTTCAGTGAGTATCTAACACTTTAGCACACGCAGACCCGAATTCATCTAGCCTGCGTTTGGGTCCATGGCAGAGGAATAAAGCTGTTCTTTCCATCAGATAGGCACAGCTGCCGGGTGTGAGATTCCTTGACTGCCGGGGATGGGATGGCCCCTCTCCCCTGCTTAGTCTGGAGCAGTTGTTAAGGCGGCCACATTGCCAAGGATATGGTCATATGGCAGGACACTACCATATGTAACCTCAGGACATCCGAGCCAGTCTTGTAAAAGGTGGCTTTTGTTTGCAGCTGGGTATTTTTAGTTTCATGTCAGCAAACTACAGCGGTGTTTGTCTCCTCACCCAAACCGGTGGTTGTGAAACTTCTAAGGGAATTTAAAAATGGACCTGGCTTACTTGCTGGCAGCCAGGCGGTGGTTGCAGTGGGCAGGACCAGACAGCGGCATCCCGGAGACCAGGCCAGACTCCGCCCGAGGGCTGGGGGACTGGGTGGTGTGCAAACATACTGGGGCTCCAACAGTTTAAACAAAGGGTCAAATGATTTGGTCTAGACACTGCAGATGTGTTTGGGCCATTTAAAGTTTTGCCTGCACCGAATGTGCCAGGTAATTCTCTGCGGAAATGCCCGGAACAGGGATGAATATTAGTCTCCGGCAGGAGCGTACTTTAACCTGTGAGTTGTGTAGTGACATACTCACTAGTAAGACTGCTACTATCCATGGTTTTCATGCATCTTGTTCTTTTCTTTTCCTGTGTGAGAATTAGGAAATAATTTGCTAGCCAGAGATGCCAGGAAGAAACTTCCAACTTACAATTGGCACTTTGCAAAAAACTCCCAGCTCTATTTGGAATATTAAGGTGACTTGAAAGTGGCATTAACCCCTTTCAGTCTGGCCTTTTGGAACCAGGGACAGAACCTTTTCTAAGGCTGTCCTGATAAAGCTTCTCTGTCCCTGAGCCTCTGCTTTCAGCCTTGGCCTCCCTTCTTGGTCCCATTTCCTCCCCAGAAATGGCATTTGTGGATTATTTGCATCTATATGAGTATGCTCATCTGATATTTTGTCCCCAGTCCATAGCAAATACTACTTTCAATACGTTCTATTGAACATAGAAGGGCAGGTAGCTCAACTGAAAGGTCTTCCTTATTTTGAATTACATATGGTTCCAGAAAAACTCCATGTCGATGATTTATTATTACATGGGACATAACAGTATGCTTTGAAATTCTTATTAAACATTTACTTTTGCTCTCCATTTTATTAAAGCACACTGATGACAGCTGATGCTAAATCTTTTTCTTACCATTTTGAGTTTCCTTAAAAGTTAGCTGAAATTTGTTTCTTGGAAGGATTCAGGGTAATGATAGCTGATCCTTTAGCCTGCCTCTGCAGTTTCTGTCTCTCCAGATCACCCTGGGAGAGGCAGAAGGGACCACAGCATGGCACAGATTGTGTTGCTAAAAATTTGGAGCCCTCTGGCAGGAGGGCTATTTCTGTTTCTATCTGGAATAGCAAAATAGTATTCTAAAAGAAATGGATTCCTGGCTTCATTGATGGCTAGCGAATACCTGGAGTGTGTGGGGAGGGGGAGAAACAATAAAAGGAGACAGCTGGTGGGGGGCTCGCTGTCTCTCCCTCTAATTCTAATTTGAGGTTCATTGTCTTTTATACTTTTCTAATATATAAACTTGAATAATTGATCTTTAATTTGGTTGGAGGGTTTGGCAGAAGTGGGTCTTGACAGTAGAGGTGGTTTTCTTTAGATCTTTGACACTCTGGGTTAACAGTCTTAGGGTGGGGACCAGGTTTTAGACCCCATTCTAATCCCAGTATTTTACACAGTACCTGGCACATAGTAGGTTCTCAATAAAATAATTGCTGGAGGAATGCAAGAAGTGCCTGGACTCTAGGAGATCCGCTTCTTCAGTTTAAAGCAAACCTTGCCAAGATGTGTGGTCAGTAAGTCTGGCTTTTGGGAGGGAGGGCAGGGGAAGGGACAGGGAGTGGGGGATGGAATAATTAATTCTCCGCCCTCCTGGGCTCTGAGGTCCCCTGAGTCTTGGATCTTGCTCACCCTGCAACAGACAGCAGCATTTCCCATGGCATAGATTTGCTGTCCTGAAGTGTGAGGCAGTGAGGCACTGCTGGGTGTCCTGGGCCCTGGGGAAGCTCGGCCTCATTTAGTTACTGACCAGTAGAAACCCATCCACATGAGAGATACCTTCTGTGGGCGTGAACTGCTCCTGATTTCAGTGAGAATGGAGCTACATGCCTGTGGTTTGTGTACATGTCGGAGCCATCAGTGAAAGCATCCCGTGAAAGTGCATCCCCAGGATTGAAGTGTCTCGCCTACCTGCCCCAGCCGGCTGGCCTTTAATGGAGCTGTGTCGGGCAAGGCAAAGCAGAGGGGCCCCCAGGCTGCATTTGTGCTGAGTGTGTGAAGACAGCTCCTCTGAACCTTCCTTTTGTGTGACTCGGTAGGATTGTGGTTTTGTATGAAAGCTCCTGTTCATAGAAGAGAAGCCTGTGGAGAAAGCCTTTTTTTTTGCTTTCTTTCTCCTCCTCTCTCTCTCTCTTTTTTTCCCCTTTGCAATATGTTTACTTTCACTGTCGCCTGGGATTTCTTTGCCTTGGTTGAATGTATTGAAAGATTATACCCTTTATTTCCAGACTTCTTGGGTTACCCCTTTGTAGTTCACTTGATTAGACTGAATGTAAAATACTCTTGTATTATCATTTTAATCTAATTGTAAACACAGTGGGTGCTCACTTCAGAAAAATTTAGGAAGTACAGAAGAAAAACAATCTTTCATTAACCTACCACCCAGAGGCAATGGGGACTTTCTTCTGTAGATTACAGAATATATATTAAAAAATTAGTTGAGGTCACATCATGGGTTTTGTATCTTGTTTGATGGACAATATGTTTTAGACAAGTGCATCATTATGGTCACAAGTTATTAAGTTTAAAGACAGACAATTTAACCACAACTGTTTAAATTTATAGAGTTGCATTCACCTCTCCGCTCTTGCCCCCAGCCCCTTTGCAGGCTATCAGTCTGCAATGGTGCTGCTTTTTTTTCACCCCCTGCACATACTTAATTTTAAATTAAAGAATCTTTCTGCTGATACATGAAATGAGTTTGGATCACACTAGTTTGTAGGGGCTGTTCTTATGTTATCTATCTGAAACTTCCTTTGAAAAGATGTCAGAAGGGCCTCAAATATAAGACTGTTATGAATCCTGGAAATAGCACTAAATAACCCAAGGATAAGACGTTTCCAGCATGGGGGTCTCCTTGGCAGTTTAAATGTTTGCGCCTCAATGGGGAGTTCCATAGCTGCATGAAGATGAGACAGATACACTTAGGCAATTTCCTTTGACAGTTACAGCCACTGCCCAGGAGTCTCCATTTCTCTGCCTCTGAAATCAGAGTGGTGATCAGGCACTGGAGAAAGAGTGGTTGGGGAACTTCTGATGGGGCAGGGGTGAGGGACTCCACCCTCCAGCAAAGGCAGCTGCTGTTTGTATTTATCTGGATGAAAAGTCATTTTGCTTTTGACGAGCTCTATCAGCAACAGCCATTTAAAAACAGGAAATCAAAGGCTTACAAGCACGGGCACCACCCTTTCCCTTCTTAAATCCACTAAAGGGACAAACCTCTTCTTAATCTGTTAGTAAGAAAGACTCTTGAAAGTCGCGACC